CTGCTGCTGCTGCTGCTGCTGCTGCTGCAGCAGGAGGAGGAGCTGCAGCAGCAGCAAGAGGAGGAGATGCAGCAGGAACAGGAGTAGCTGCTGCTGAAAGAGCAGCAGCAGGGGAACCGGGGGCTGCTGCTGCTGCTCCTGCTGCTGCTCCTGCTGCTGCTCCTGCTGCTGCTGCTTCTGCTGCTGCTGCTCCTCCTGCTGCTGCTCCTGCTGCTCCTCCTGCTGCTGCTGCTGCTGCTGCTGCAGCAGCAGAATTTGAAAGTTTCTGGAGACGGGTGCATCTGTAATAACCGCCGACAATGCATGCAGCAAATATATCATTTAGAGTGAGTTGTATATTTTTATTTTTTTCTTTTTTTTCTTTTTTTTCTTTTTTTTCTTTTTTTTCTTTTTTTTCTTTTTTATAATATATTGAATTCATTACTTTACACATAAACTGCATAAAGACATTTATTTGTTTTTCTTTTTCTCCTTTTTGCTGCTGTTTCTGCTGCTGCTGCTGCTGCAGCAGCACCTCCTCCTCCTCCTGCTGCTGCTGCTGCTGCTGCTGCTGCTGCTGCTGCTGCTGTAGCGTATAAGTAAGTTTATTTTTTAGATCTTTTAGTGCAGCAAGAGATAAACAAATAGGAGCAGCTATCTTTGTTTTGCATGCATTGCCGCTTCTAGGGGAGAGCAGCAACTCATCGTAGCTTACTAAGAGAGACATACCAGCCCCATAGAAAGGCAGCTGCAGCACGAATCTTGCTGCTATATATAAATTAAATAAAAATTTATTTGGAGAACAATATAAAGATGCGGGAGGCTTCTGTACTACACCCGAATGAGCTGTTGCTGCTAAAGATACAGGTCCTCCTGCTGCTGCTGCTGCTGCTCCTGCTGCTGCTGCTGCTCCTGCTGCTGCTCCTGTTCCTGCTGCTGCTTCTGCTGCTCCTGCTGCTGTTGATGACGATGATGATGATGATGATGCGGTAGGGGTAGCTGCAGTTGCTGCTGTTGCAGTTGTTGATGCTGCAGTAGAAGCGGCAGCAGCAGCAGCAGCAGCAGCAGCAGATGATGCTGATAGACGCATGCAGCTGTCAGCAGCATCAACGCCATCTGCTGCAGCTTTTAATGAGCCCCCAGAAACTGTCCACATAGTGCTGGTGCTAGCAGCACTCACAGGGCTGCTGCTGCTGCTGCTGCTGCTGCTGTTGTTGCTGCTGCTGCTGCTGGAGTCTTCGCATGCAGGATCTATTGTGCATGCAGCAACACTGCAGCTGATGGATCTGCTGCTGTGGCAGTCTGCCCCCATTTCCCCTGCTGTTTCTGTTTCTTCCCGTTTGCATACAAATTCCTCTTCTGCTGCTGCTGCTGCTGCTTCTGCTGCTGCTGCTGCTGCTGCTGCTGCTGCTGGTGCTGGTGCTGGTGGTGCTAGA